GATCTCTCTCTCTCGATCTCTCTCTCGATCTCTCTCTCCCTGCGTCTGTTTGTGTGCATATGTGTGTCTGTGTGCGTGTGTGTGTGTGTGTGCCCGTATGTGTGCATATGTAAGTGTGCATATGCGTGTTCACATAGTTATTCTGTGAGTCAATATGTTCTCACCTGGAGCACCAGCGCCAACACTGCGCCGACCACCCTTGTGTTGGCTACACTCAATGGGTACACCAGGCTACGGGCACCTTTCCTCCAGTCTACCACGATCACGTTGGCCTCCTCCTGAAGCAGATGGTGAATTTGGTGACAATAACCTCCTTAGTTTTGGTAGAAGTTTTACGGCGTTTGCAACATAATTATGTCATATAAGTGCCGAAGTTTCCTCCGGTCTACTAAGATCATTTGGCCTCCTCCTGAAACAGATAGTCACTTCGGTTACAATAATCTCCATATTTCTAGTTTTGGTAAACATTTTTACGGCACTCGCAACACATTACGTCATATTAACACCGAAGATTAGAGTCTTACAAGAGAGTAGCAAATACAAGAACAGAAGGGGGAGAGATAAGGACGAAAGATGTTTGACAGGACAGAGGGAGCAAACCCCACCAGAGCACCCGCAAACCACCCACCAATAAGCCTCCAGCATATCTTGTACTCTTCTCGTAGGTCCACTTTAACATTTTTCTATTCTTTTTTTCTCTCTGATAATTATTATGATATACATGTACGTATTTATTACATGATCTTTTGTTACTTATTTCATTATCTTCTGTATGAATGAAATTAAAGTCATTTCATCTTGAGAGAGGTCGTGATTTTGATTACAATAACCATCCAGCATATTGTGTCGCTACTCTCACATTTCCACTTTAATACATTTCTATTCTTTTTAAGTCTAATAATTAACATGATGCTCAAGTACGTACTTATTTAATTATCTTTTGTAACAGATTAACAGCGTGAGCAGTTGCTTCCTGTTCGTTTTAGACACAGGTACGCTTTATCAACAGTTGTAAGTGGGGGTGGGGGGAGGGGGGGGGTATATTTTTCAAATGGACTGCTTATATCTTAAATTTTGTTTGGTTATTGAGAAACTCTCCTTGTCTTTTACAGAGACTGAGTACGGATTCAAGAACTTTTAACTTCGATTTTCTTAAAAGAAGCATTTATCCGGATAGCCCCGTTGTGCTTAATAGCGACCAAATTATAGTTGAAATTGTCCAAGATGGCCACTTTTTGTGGATGGTAAAAGTGCTTGTCTTAGTAGACAGTGGCTGTTAGAGCAGTATAATAATGGAGCAGGTAATCTAAAAGTGACTCACTCTATTTAGGATTGCATGAGCCATGTCTACCACCCATGCGGACCGGGCGGACTCCAGGTATCCGTGGACGATAACCACAGTTTTGTGGCTTGGGTTGTACTTCCGCTGAAGCACCTGTACAAGCGGGAAGGGAGAGAGAGAGAGAGAG